CCTGGACCCCAGAACAGTGTCCATTGGGCAGGCCTCCTGAGGGTGGGGGAGGGGTGATCTCACGCATTGGATTTGGTGTAAGGAGCAGAGCCACAGGTCCGCTGAGAGAGAACAGACAGGACCCAGGACCCCACAATAATGGGACCCCATAAAGGGCCTCCCCTGCTACAAGCCATGGGAGACCACATGTCAGATGACCCTGTGAGGTGTGTCCTGACTTCCGCATGCAGGTCTGAGGTACGCTGGGGCTCACTGTAAGGAACACAGCCACAGGACGATGGAGGGCACCCTGAGCCCCACAACCAGGGGATCCCATAAACCCTACCCTGCTATCAGCCTTGGGATGTTCCCTGGTGAAAGACCAAGTGCCGAGTTTCCTGACTTCTGTATCCAGGACTGAGTGAGACTCAGGACTTGGTAAAAAGTGTAGGGGACCACACTTCTAGGAATATTTCCCTAAGAAACCGGAAAGACCAATGAGAAAGAATGTATGCACCCCTATGTTCATAGCAGCACAGTTTACAATAGCTAAGATGTGGAAACAGCCCAGGTGCCCATCAATGACCTGATGAAAAGGCAGTGGTACATGTATGCAATGGAATACTATGCAGCTGTATAAAGGGAAGGGTCTCTTACCCTTTGAGACAGCATGGAGGGACCTGGAGAGTATCGTGCTAAGTGAAGTAAGCCAGTCAGAGGAAGATAGATATCACATGATCACACTCATATGTGAATCGAAGTTACAAAGTAAACTGATGAACCAAATAGATACAGACACATGCAAGCATGGGACAGATTGGGGAATCTCAGAGGGAAGGTGGGGAGGGTCTGAAGTAATCAACCATGAACCTTGTATGCGTATAAGCGTGGCCCATGGACACAGATGATTGGGTGGTGAGGGTGGGGGAAGGGGACAGAGGTGGGGTGGAGGGGGTAATTTGTAATCTACAATAGTAAAAGCATTATATGCTAATTAGACTGGACACCCTTCAGGACGTCCTTCCTCAGCAAGCCAGGGCCGGAAGCCAGGGCCGTGAGGGAAGCCCAGGTCTCAGGTGCCAGAGGGAAGCTGGTGCCGACAGCCAGGGCAAGGAAGGCCTATTCTTGCATAAATTTCGTGCATCGGGCCTTTAGTTCTTTCAATAATAAAGAATTACTAAAAAATTAAAAAATAAAAATAAAAAAAGCCATATAGAGAATCAGGTCCACAGAGAGGAGGGCAGTAGTACTACCCAGACTCAAGTGGCATTTAATGCCTTCACATCAGGGTCTGTGACACTGTGGGGTTTCGTACACAAACCAACCCCAGAGAGGCAGAGGAAGGACCCAGGACCTGCCAGGGTAACTATGTGGACCCTGTGTCAGGACAGAGGGGACCCAGGACTCCCAGTGTAGAGGCTGCACAAAACCCCACTTTGCTCTCGGCCTTGGAAGGCCACAGGGCTGGTGACCACATGGGGTGTCTTCTGATTACAGCATTCAGGTCTGAGGGAGACTGGAAACTTGATGAACACTATAGGGCCTCCCTCAGGTCCACAGAAGGGATGCAGAAGCACTGTCCAGAGTCAAGGTGCTTTTCCTGACTTTCAAATATGGTTCTGACAAGCTCTGGGGTTTGGTATAAGGAGCAGGGTCTCAGGTGGGCAGAGGGAAGAGTCAATGTGAGGACCCCAAGGGAGGACTGAGGGAATCCAGGAGCCCTAACCAGAGGGGAGTCCACAGAAGTCTGCCCTGCTCCAAGTGTTGGGAGGCCCTATGGTGGATGACCATGCAGAGAGGAACCGCAGAAGCCCAGACCTGATGTCAGCCCTGGCAGTTCAGGGGGAACCACAAAGGCGGCAGAGGGGAGGACCCGGGTCTTGCCCGGAGTCTAGGTGAACATGCAAAGGGAAGACTGAGGGAACCCGGCCCCCACAACAGAGATGCCCCACATTACCCCTACTGTGAACCCTGGGAGGCCCCTGGTCCATGACCACATGCTCTCTTCCTGACTTGGGCATCTCACGTTGACAGAGAGGAGGTTCCAGCTCCAGCCAGGAGTCACCGTGAGGATCCTGCAGGAAGACAAGTGGACTCCACCCACTGAGGGCTGAGTGGTCAGGCTCCAGGTAGGCAAAGAAGGGCTGCAGGGCTCTGCCAGGATACCAGGTAAGGACCCGAGTTAGGATTCAGGAAGCCCCTAGCACACCTTGAAGTATGTATGCCTGAGGCTTGGTCAAGGCCATAAATATCCGCAGTGTGCCTGTTCCTGCCAGCAGCACCTGAAAGCCTCATGGTAGGCCTGTGGATTTGGGTTGCTTCCAGACTTCTACCTTAGGAGTGGCAAAGGGAGGTGAGGGCATTGTCCTGAAGGTGCTGGATTCAGGACAACATGGGAGGTGTGCCAGGCAATGCTGGTAATTAAAGTGTAGGCCTTGAGGCAGGATGGTGGTATCTCCCACCCCAGTAAAAACAGGGGCCAGCTGGCTTAGGCTCTGCTGGCACAACTGGGTCACTCGGCACGATAGTCAATGTGGTGTGTCTTAAAGTCCACCTTGGAGGTCACAGAGAGATGGTGGACATGGCCTGCAGTTTTTTTTTTAAATATATTTTATTGATTTTTTACAGAGAAGAAGGGAGAGAGATAGAGAGTTAGAAACATCGATGAGAGAGAAACATCGATCAGCTGCCTCCTGCACATCTCCCACTGGGGATGTGTGCGAAACCAAGGTACATGTCCTCGACCGGAATCGAACCCGGGACCCTTCAGTCCGCAGGCCGACGCTCTATCCACTGAGCCAAGCCAGTTTCGGTGACCTGCAGTTTCCATTCTAAGTTCAGCGGAAGGGAAAGGTCCCAGGCACTCTCCAAGTAAACCTGGGTAGCTCGGGGAGGAAGGAGGATACCACACTCCAGACAATGGGTGCCCTGAACCCAGTCTGTGCTGCTGTCAGCCCTGGGAAAGGCCTGGCATGGGTCTGCAGAGGTGGTTCCCTCACACGTTTGTCTCAGGGCACTCGGGAAGGACAGGGCCTTGGTCATAGGGAATGGCTTCAGTTCATACAAAGAGGAGCTGAGGTTGTGGAAGGGTCATTAAAAGTGTGAATCCTTTCTTGTGGGAAACTTCAGTTATGTGCTCCCCGAGAAAAGAAGAGAGCCCTCAGCATCAGGGAGTGTCCTGTCCTCAGCATCCAGATTCCCCAGGCAGGGGTACCTGGGTGTGACATGCTCTCCCTTTCCACATGCCTGCTCCTCCTGAGCTTTTCTCACTGAGGACAGTTATTCAGGGTGAAATCGGGTCAGCTGGATTCAGATCCAGGCCAGGCCAGGAAGAAAGGCAAGTATCCTGAGGCCAGACTAAGGGAACTCTGTACCCAGAATGGATGGGCCCAGGCCCTGGTGTCAGTTGTGTGGGAACCTGGACAGGGGTGGGGGCAGATGGAGCTCCTGTTCACTTTTGTCTCAGAGCTCTCAGCAAGGTGAGGACGTTGGTGTGAGATCACACGTCCTATCATCCACCGGATCCACATTTTGTCAACAGAGAGGAGTCCCAGATCCTGCAAGGAATCAAGGTGAGCCCTGAAGGGAAGCAGAGCAAATCGGAAGCCAGACCTACCTTGCCTCCTCTGTCAGCAATGGGGAAACTCGGAATAGTGCCTGGATTACTTCAGCTCACTTCCTACTCCTGTATCTCAGGGAGGTGAAGCCTAAGTCTAAGTAGATTGGGCTCAGTCAGCAGAGAGAGTGGTCTGAAACCCTGCAGCAGGGGTCCTCAAACTTTTTAAACAGGGGGCCACTTCACTGTCCCTCAGACCGTTGGAGGGCTGGACTATAGTTTAAAAAAAACTATGAACAATTTCCTATGCACACAGCGGCGGCAAAAGCACCCGGCGGGCCTGATAAATGTTTTCAGTGGGCCGCATGTGGCCTGCGGGCCGTAGTTTGAGGACCCCTGCCCTGCAGTGCGTCCTGGTGAGAAATGATCAGAGCCTTAACCCAGGATAGATGGACCCAAATCTTCAGTCACCCCTTCTTGATCCTCTTGGAGCGGGACTACATGTGGGGCCCCCTCCGTTTCTTCACTGCAGTGTCAGGTGTGTGTGGTCTTGTTCTGAGAGTTTGACCTCATGCCAGCAGAAGGCAGTGAGGGGCCAGGCCCTGGCAGGGGAAAGGTGAGGATCCTATATGTGCAAGGAGGAACCTCCCACCCACAACAGAGGGGACTTCACAGAGTCCTGCCGCCCCTCCTGTCAGCTTTGGGGTCCCAGGAAAGTGCTTGTCATGTGCATGCTGAGGTGCCCCTTTGTTCCCTCCAGAAGAGGCCCCGGATTGGAGGAGGTGAAGGCCTTGGTCTAGTCTACATATTCTCAGGTCACAGAGCAGCAGGAGGCCTGGAAGTGCTAGGAATTAAGGTGAGGTGTTGACCATGAATATATCCATATGGGCTCTCCACCCTTGTCAGAGGGTCCTCACATTGCCTGACACCTCCATACCCCACCGTCAGGTACAGAGCCCTGTGCTGTGCCTTCTATACCCTGAACATTCATGTCACTTCCTACTTCAGGTTCTTAGTGGGCAGGCTGATCAGGAGTGAGCCCTGTGAGGCCCATGTTCACCCCTAAAGCAGAGACCTGGAAGTCAGCTTTGTCAGAGCCACCTAGGGTGTGTTTCTCAGCTCATGCCTCTCACACTCACACTCTCCCCCAGGCCCGGGTTCCTCATCGCCCATCTTCTGCCCACACTCGGTCACTGTTCGAGCACGAGTCATCATGCCTGGTCATCATATGAATGAGCCGTTGAAGCCTGAGGAAGACTTTCCGTATCCAATTGAGATCCCCCACTTGATGGCGGAGCAGCTGTTCTGGGCTATGCAGGAGGAGGAGGAAGAGGAGGAGGAAGATGTCCTGTCTCTCTCCTCCTCCCCCTCAGTCCTGTTTATAGACAACCTAGAGGAGGTGTCTGCTGCTGAGACACCAAGTCCTCCCCAGAGTCCTGAGCGTGCCTGCCCCTCCCCCCATGCCATGGAAGCCTTTCCATGTAGCCAACCTGAAGATGGGAGCTCCAGCATCCGAGATGAAGAGGGTCCAAACACTGAGGGAGGCCCTGAAGATGATGCTGATTCCTTGCTCCACAAAGCACTGCGTTCGAAGATGATGGAAATGGTGAAGTTCCTGATCCTGAAGTATCGTGCAAAGGAGCCAACCACAAAGGCAGAAATACTGAGTAGTGTCATCAAAGAGCACCAGGACCACTTTCCTGAGCTCTTCAGTGCTGCTGTTGAGAGCATTGAGTTGGTTTTTGGTATTGTTGTGACGGAAGTAGACCCCAGTACCCACACCTATGTCCTGGCCACTGCCTTGGGGCTAACCTATGATGGGATGGTGAGCGATGAGCAGAGATTTCCCAACACAAGCCTCCTGGTCACACTTCTGTGTGTGATCGCCTCACAGGGTGATTGTGCCCCTGAGGAGAAAATCTGGGCTGTACTGAATGATTTAGAGGTGCATGATGGGAAGGTACATTGGCTCTATGGGGAGCCCAGGGAGCTCATCACCAAAGTTTGGGTGCAGGAACAGTACCTGGTGTACCGCCAGGTGCCCAATAGCAATCCTGCACGCTATGAGTTCCTGTGGGGCCCCAGGGCCCACGCTGAGACCACCAGGGCAAAAGCCCTCCAGTTTGTGGCCATGGCTAATAGGGATTTCCATTTCCTCCCATGCCTGCCTGAAGAGCCTTAGTGCAATGAGAAACACTATGCCTGAGCCAGAGTTGCATCCAGGCACTTTCCAGGTCCATGTGCATTAACTTCTTTTGCTGGGCATAAAGTGTGTCCAATTTTCAACTCTGTGTTTGAGAAAAAACCAGTAGTGAGGCCCAGGGAAACGTTTAGGCTCCTATTGTGATTGAGAAATTTATGATTTATTATTTTGTGAATTGTTAAGGAAATTTTCTAATGTTCTTTACATAGAAGTTTTCATAAACTTTTAGCATGTAAGTTTGTAAATGACATTGATCACATATATATTTCTACATGTTCAGCTCAAGAATAAGGGATTTGCTACTGTGTAATGAAAATTGGGACCCTTCCCATCCTAGTTTGTGATCCCAATCTAGATAACATGACATTATAATAGGATTTCCTTGTAAATGTGTATGAACTCAGCAGTAAGATCCGTGGAGTTAAGAAATATTTAAATAAAAGCAAAAGGTTGTTAATTTTTGCTTCTTATATCTTCTCATCTGTCTTTCCATGAAACAACTTATCTAAGGATCCTTGGTTCTGGCAAGAAAGTGGGGGGATTTCATCTGAATAAAGACGACCCCTGCTCAGTGGTTCATTTAATCCCCAGACATTCACTGAGCCTGTGTCCTCTGGAAGGCCCTGTGTTAGTAGTGGGCACACTAACATAAGCAGGGCATATCCACCCACAGGATGATAGTGTAGGAGCTGAAGTCATATAAGGAAGGGGTTAGGTGTCCCCTTAATCCTACAAACAAGTAACAGAACAGGTGAGGCGGTGGGCCTCCAGTGACCAGCACTCACTTGTGAATGGACTTCATTTTTACCTCAGTGTACTTGCAACAGCATGGATGGAATTGGAGAGCATTATACTAAGCGAAATAACCTAGTCAGAGAACGGTAAATATCACATTATTTCACTCATATATGGAATATAATGAACGACATAAACTGATGAACAAAAAAAGATCCAAAGACAAAGAAGCATCGACAAACCTCAGAGGGAAGGTAGGGGAGAGTGGAGGTAATGCAGGGGAGAGCAACCAAAGGACTTGTATGCAAGTATATAAGCCTAAGCAATGGACACAGACGCCAGGGGGTGAGGGCATGAGTGGGGGGTGGAGGAGGGCAATGGGGGGATAAGGACACATATGTAATACCTTAGTTAAAAAATGATGTGCATGGCCTGGGCCAGGGTACTTGGGAAACTGTGATTCCCTCTGCTGGGGTTGATTGTAAGGAAGCTGGGGGTGGCAGCGGCACATTGTGTTTCTTGGGTGTGAGAGGGAAGTGTGAAGTGGAAAATTGTCCTGACAAGTTCCTTTGGGATCATGGATAAACCAGAGGGGAATCTCCACCTGGTTAGGAAGAGTGCTTCCCTGCACGCAGTCTCAGTGCCATTGGACAGTATGAGCACTAGGCATGTTATACCCATCATCTGCACAGATTTCTACAGAAATACAGTTACTGGGCCATGAGTAACATGATGGCCTGGGAGAGCCTAATTGGGATTGAATGTTAATGATCTTGAGTGTGATCTGGCCAATCATCATCAAGGGGTAGATTTTGGGTGGGGGTGAAATCAATGAAAGCATTTGTTTGGATGAAAGAACAGCTTGGACAGAGGGAAAGAGTTGTTCCTAGACTCTCTTTCTAGAAGCTTTGTGTTGTGTCCAGCTGTGAAGGCTCCCCACACCTGAATGTCAGCATACATCCATGAATTGAGAAAATTTACTGAGTTTTATTTGTGGAACATCCTTTTTGGCCAATTGGGTGTTTTATTCTCTACTGAGCTGTATATTCTCTAATTAAAAGGGTGTCCCAAAATTCACGCAAGAAGTAATTTTGATAGAAAATACAGGTTTGTAAATAAAAATTGTAAATTTTTTATTTATTCATAAAGTATACAGTATAGAATTATGTATGGAATAGTATATCCGGTAAATGGCCTCCACGGTTTTGCTGGCACATACGCAATCTTTTGTTGAAATTTTCCATGACCGTTTTGCATAAATGTGGCTGAATTTCTATGAGGCTCATTTTCATCTTGATGGCTTGGTTAATAGACAAAATTGTCACATTTGGGTTTCAGAAAATCCACGAGTGATTGTTGAGAAACAAATGCATCCACAACGTGTCACTGTTTGGTGCGGATTTTGGGCTGGAGGCATCATCGGACGATTCTTCGAAAACATGGCTCCTCGGGCAATAACAGTTAATGGTGCTCGCTATAGCAAAATGACAATCCAGTTTTACTGGATCCACTATTCCATATATAACCCTATACTGTATAGTTTATGATTCAATAAAAAATTTTACCTTTTTATTATAAACCTATGTTTTCAATCAAAATTAATTCTTGCGTAAATTTTGGGACACGCTTTATGAACTTGATAACAGCTAATCACTGTGCCAGAGAAGAGAGTAGAAGAGTCTGGGATAAACACAGTATCAGAAATAACTACTATTCATCATAGTTCCAATCTCCACCAGGAACTGTGTGAGGTGCTTTACAAACACGCCATACATTCCTGCGGTTCTACAAGACGGCTATCAGATCCCCTTACTTCACAGAGGAAGAACCTGGGGCTCTTAGGGCCAGCTAATACCCCCAGGATCACATAGCTAGTAAGTGACAGACAGAGATTGGATCCCTGGTCTGAATTCCTCTACAGTCCATGCTGTTCCCACCCATCCCAGACTGTGCCTAACCTTCTGACTTGTAAATCATTTTTCTTCTCAGTACTGCATGTCTCTCAGGCAATAAAAAGAGGGATCCTGGGGCCAAGGCACTAAAAGCAGGCCTAAGGAAAGAAGGTGACAGTGTGAATCAAACACAATCTGGGTACTGTCTGTGGCCTTTATTTACCAAGGTTCCTCCTGCCCAAGTCCCAGGGTCCCTTGAGAGCTGAGATGCTGGCATTTCTGTCCAGTCCATGCATTTTTCCACATGACAGCACCCTTCCCCTGTGTGCCCCCTTGTCCATTCCTGAATCCTGGCCTGTTTCTCACTGTTGCCTCCTCTGAAAGCTGCAGCCACTCATGGTGGAACAGCCCCAAATCTCCTACCCCCTACACCCCTACACTCCTCCTCCCCTGGCTTAGAACATGTCTACTCCCTGCTGAAGTACTGATCATCCATCCCTCACCCTGGAACCGCTCTGATGGAAAAATCTCTTTGAATTTGAACAGTGACCTTTAGATACTCGGACATCCTGCTGGATGTCTTCAGCACATTCTTCACATGCTTTCCAAATGAATCAATGAGTACAGTATGATTGGGCCCATAATCTACCAATTTGGGGATGTCACCCTGAAGTTAGAAAGAAGGTTTTTTAGAATACCTGCTGTTTACAGCAGGAGTTTAATGGGGTGTGTTATTTGAAACTGGCCACATACATGGATGGATCAGCTTACCTAGGGGGTCAAATCCCAATGCCACCTTCATAAGTGGTAGATTCAGGAAGACCATGGAAATCACTGAGGAGCAAATATCTACGGAGGCTAATTTCCCCCAAACTTGGAGCCCCCTTGTAGGTAAAAAATGGTTTCTATGTAGACATGTTCATCCTAATTACAAATTTAAAAAAATAATAATTATAAATTTCCCACTGTTCAATGTTGGTGTGTCTGTATCACAGGAAAATAATCATTTTCAGTGTACCTGATGGCACCTGTATAGGTGTTCAGGTATGTTCAGTCATGGATTTTGGTCATGCATCAAAAGGAAAGATAATTCTCAGCCAACTGAGATTATATAGGTTATCTCAAAGGGAAGTGTAGAAAAGAGTTATTGAGGGAAGATAGCAAACCCACTCAACTGATATTTACAGGATCCTATGGAAATTACATGTGATCCTGTATTTTAAATCTCCTGTCATGCCCTAACCAGTTTGGCTCAGTGGATAGAGTGTCAGCCTGCGGACTCAAAGGTCCCAGCTTTGATTCCCGTCAAGGACATGTACCTTGGTTGTGGGCACATCCCCAGTAGGGAGTGTGCAGGAGGCAGCTGATCAATGTTTCTCTCTCATCTATGTTTCTAGCTCTCTATCCCCCTCCCTTCTTCTCTAAAAAAATCAATAAAATATATTTTTAAAAAATGTCTGGTAGTCATCGAAAAAGTTGAAGAACTTAAGGCAAATTTGACCTCAGAAATTTCTCCAAGAAATGGAGGTTATTTTCATAACAAATTATAATTGTTTTTTTAGCACCTAATATGTAACAGTGTATGGGAGAGATTACAAGGTCTCATCCACATTTTGTCTTCCTCTCCTTTGTGGGTGTATGGGAAAACTACATTGCTCCAGTTCACTTGTTAGGAAGGGTCATCTACCTGTTGTCACTGAGAGCTGATCAGAAATGGTGAAACATCCAGACATCTAGGAGCCAGTATGACAGTTCTGGCCTTCCTATTTCGTTCAACAGCAAGCATAGCATCCCTGTGTTGAGATGGTGGGACTACCATCTTGAATTATCCCAGATCCCTGAGTCACCCGATAGAGGAGATCTCCTGCCCAACTGCATCCAAATTTATATGCGCACAAAAAGACTTTTGTTATGTTAAACCATTCATATTTCAGTTTTCCTCTGTCTCATCAGCTTGCAGTTACTTCAACTGACTAATACACAGCAACGTTATCTGCTGTTAGGTGGATTTAAATAGTTTAATTATAAACATAATCCTGTATATAATGCATGTATTCTCTTGAAAAAAAAATCTAAAAGTAGATAACTGCCTCCTTTGTGAAGTCCCTCCAAATTTCAGCCTCCTACTCAGAGGTAACCATAGCTAACAACATGGTTATAAGTTTAAAATGTAAAGGGTGTGAATATTTTAGATTTTTATAAATATTGCTGAAATTTTCAAAAATGCCATACCATTTATATGCTCATTTTTTATGTGAATATCTTTCATTTTCAATTATGTTTTATCATTCCTTTAAATTTTGGTTAAAATTGTGGGCAAAAATATTTCTTCACTCTTGTTTTAATTTGTAT